TCGGCTTCCAAACAGTACTGCAAATGTACTGTTATCACGCAATGTCTATATGCTGCTTCCAATACTTGTGTGTGGGTATTTGTTGTATAAGGTTACTTTTGATCTGCTGGCCGTTTTCTGCAAATGCTTACCCCCTACCAGCTACTCTGAATCAGAGGCATGGAAGAGTCCATAATTTGAGATGAAAACTCTGCATTAGCTTAGTCTGTGTTACCTGATTACATGGCAAATCCAAGGTAAGTGCTGTTGGTTGTTACATTGTTCTCTTAAAGATAGGGTAAACAAATAGCCTGTGTATACTGCAGGATATCAAGCCAAGTGACCCTGAGGTATATCATTAACTCCACTGTGAGGGCCAACCAATGTTCCAGACTTTTAGAATGTAGCAATATACCACCTTTAACTCTGCCATGTGGGCACAATGGTTCAAAACACTGGGGCTGCTTGTTGACAGTCTAACAGAAGAGCAGACACATACTGCTGGATGTATGCCTGTGATAGTTAATATTTATCAACCCTATGAAACAGGGATGACATATGAAAGCTAAGACCTCAGCTATTAAATGTGTTGCTTTGGTCCACGTTTCTGGAACTTAATTCATTAGAGTCTCTTGAAGAGCTGTGAAAACACAGCTGCCTATCTCCAGCCCAAGAGTTCCTGAATTGTTAGATCTGGAGTGAGGATCAAGCATTTCCATTTCTCATCATGCCAAGGGGGCTGTTGAGACTGCAGTCTCAAAGACCACATGAGAGATGATGGGGGTACATCAGCCGACTGGTACATCTAAGACAGGATTGCATCCACAGCTGCCAGCTGTCCAAAGCTCTCTGCCAGCTGGCTACAATCACTCTGTATTGTGTATCCCAGGTGAACACAGCCCTCTCACCTATCAGCGCCTACATAGGTAACTTCTTTTCCTAGTGTGTCCTACTCAATGGTTCTTTCTTGGTTGCCTCGACCCAGGGTACATGGTTCAGCTAAGTGTTTCTTTAGGGAACTGCTTCTTCTTTCTGGCTCACAATTTATTGGCTCCTCTTATGATTGTTCAGAGATGCCCATTTGTAACTGCATTTCACTCCCATTTACAATGTTTGGTCAGTGTTGTTTTGGTTTTGGGTTTTTTTCTCCAGCTGCTCATGTATGTCTTCTTGTAATCCTGTGAGAGTCTCACTCTTCATCTCCTGCTTTAGTTGTCACTGTGCTTGACCTATCAGACATCTAACATCTATGAACTGTTTGGGGGCAGTTACTGGTTCAGGGACTTTATCTCAGTGTGTGGTACACACTGGATTGACAGAAATCTGACCTGTGAAGAGTGGACATGCCCTTCCTCTGTCTGTCTTATAATGTAAGTGCCTGGATACTTGTAGTCACTCTTTGCTGAAAAGAGTGGCTTCAGAAAAGGTTAATTGTATGTGCTGCAAGTGTAGTTTCTCCTGGTGAAACCCATTCACTTTTTTTGGATGGGTTTCCTATCTACTTTCAACATCTGTCTTTTGCTGATTGCCAATGCTGGCTTGGCAGCCACTTGACTGGCTGTCCTTGTTCTCCATTATCCTTTCCTGTGTGCCTTTCCCAACACTCTGCACTCTGACAAGAGGGAGACTGCCCAGGGAGATGATAGTTTTGGTTTGTCCTTGGGTGGGTCCACCTCTTCTACCTACTTTAGCTTGGATGCCCAGAAACATGATGGTTGGACCTAGTTTATGACAGTCATGGATGTGATCATGGAATTCTTTGTTGAGAGTATGCATCTGTGATTGGAGAGATCTCTTTATACAAACTTGTAGCTATAGGCGGTACTAGATAGGCCAAGAGTCAGAAGGTGAAGCTTCCCAAGATGGAAGTGATGCTTGCTATGCTGGATAAGAAAGGGAGATAGAGCCATTAACATTCAGCCTGCCTGCTTGTCATCACTGATGTTCCCTGAGCCTCTGGCCAGGAGCACCATCATGAATAAATACACAGGATGGAGGAAATCTCCATTTCAAATGTGGGGATAAAACAGGAGATCAGAGCTCCCTAGAAGTTATGCATTCATTCCATACTTGTGGAAACTGCAGTAATTTAGAGGAGTTCAGTATTTAGGCTCAACTGTGTAATTCATCCTGATGTTTCCCATTCATCAAAGCCTGTGTTTGTTTGTATTACCATGAGAAAAATATAAAAAAAGTGTAGGAAATAGAAGATTTCCCCTCCTTTCATTACAGGCAAATTACAGCAGAGTTACAACCCTTGGGGCCCTTCAAGCAAAGGAACATCTTGCTTCAATTAGATATAAATAATGAACAATAATTAGAAAGATTTCTTCATCAAATTTGTTATTTTATGTTTCCTTTCATCTGCAATGTATTGAAATGAATCCTGAGCTCTGTTTCTGGGCCACAAAGCAAGGATCAGGGGGATTCTAGAGTATGGCAACACAGAAGAAGGAAGCAACTATATACTGCTGGTCCTTGTGTGCTTACTGTGCAGGCTGATGTCAGCCCTGGGCCCAGGGCCATAGGGTAATGATGGGACTGCTTCAGCTCCAGACCTCCAAATTCATACATCTGGTGTGACCCATGTGTGTGATATTATCTCAGAATCATGGCCTCCATCTCTTGGGTATTGACCCCATCAGGTACCCCATGCTCTTTGACATGAGCATGAGTCCTACTTAATCCTCAATAAGAATCCACTGCTACAGGCTCATCTTTGAGCCCTCATCTTAACATTTAGAAACTGAGGCATAAAGATACTAATGAACTTGCTCAGACCCACCCTATTAGTAGTATTGGTGGGGTCTAGAAACAAGACAATTAGATGGACTCCAGAGCTATAGCTTGTGTTTGCTATGGAATGCTGCTCCTGGAAGTACCAGTGAAATACTGCAGCTATAATAACGTTCAAGCTGTGGAGACAGTATAGAGAGACCTGGGCTGAGGATGGCTTTTCAGTTACATTTATAGAAGTACACAGGTACATGGATAAGATAAAGGAATTCCAGGCAAAGGGAGAGGCATAGTCTGGTAGCTTGGATGAAAATGGGTGGCATTTCTTATTTTCAGATTGGTGGTGTTGCTAAATGGGGGATAGGGAAAACTGCTGGAGATGAGCAGAAGGTGGAAGATGTACAGATCAGCCTGGCAAGATTGGTTTGTGTGCTGGTTAGTGTTTTGTCAAATTGACAACAATTTGGAAGACTTAGCAAGGCAAACTCTCAACTAAGAAAATGCCCCCATCAGATTGCTTGTAGGTAAGGCACTGGAGGATTTTCTTGATTAATGATTGATGTGGAAGGGTTCAGTCTACTAGAGCTTGTTCAAACCCAGGGTAGGTGGTCCTAGGTTGTATAAAATGCTAGCTTGGGAATCCATGGGGAGTAAGCTAGTAAGCAGCACTCCTCCATGGTATCTGCTTCAGTCCCTGCCTCCAGGTTCCTGCCCTGACTTCTCTTCATGTTAGACTTTAAGCTGTAAGATGAAATAAGCCCATTACTTTCCAACCCCCTTTTGGTCATGTAGATTATTACATCAATAGAAAAGCAAAATAAGACAGTTGGGTTGACTCTTCCTGAGGGGGGCTCAGTGAGAGAGTGAGCCAGGTTGATAGAGTACATACTGAGAATTTCAGAAGAGAAATAAATAAAAATTGATCTTGTTAGACCCTGGAAAGAAAGGCTGGATTAACATTGGGATTTAAAAAAAATTGTAAATTGGCCTGGTATATGGCATTCTAACTGTCATGATAGGCACTTTTCAAATGGCAAACAAGAGCAAGGTACTAATTCATCCTTCCTGCCCTCACTACAGAGGATTCCTGACTTAACAGTGGCTCAAGTAAAGTGTCTTTGATGTTCTAATGTTGTGAAAATAACAAGCACTGGAAACTGTATTTTAAGTGTTGAGTTTAGATCTCTTCCTGGGCTAGTGATGTATGGAAGGATTCTGTCTTATGGTGCTGTCTGGCAGCAGTGACTGGATCTCCAAGTGGGCCAGGTCATCGTGTGGGTTTAAACTGACCCTCTGCAGTGTGCCAGCTTTACACACACACACACACACACACACACACACACACACACACACCACACACATTAAATAAGTAGCAGATTTTCCATACTTTATTGTAAAACAAGAATGGTATTCCAGGTATGGTAACTTGAGTGATGTAGGCATAGTAGAGTTAGGGAGAGGTGTATAAAGCACATTTTCCACTTAATGACATTGTCAGTTTAAGATGGGTTTGCTACCATACAAATCAGAAAGTATATGAATTTCTTCTCTTTTTGGAAAGAAGCCTTTTTCTCTGCATCCAGCTTAGCTGTCTGTTTTCAGGTTGAGGGACTTCCCGAGACACTCTGGCCTTCTGATCTGTTCCCTGCTTGTGGCATTTGCTTCTCTCTGTAAAATGAACCCAGGCTCTCCAAAATATTGCTGCTTGGTTGTCAGTATCTGCTAAATACATTTCAATGCTTAAAACATTCAGGAGATCCATGTAAAAAATCCATTTTTCATTACTTTCTCAAAAATCAGATTGGCTGCTAGGAGCTGAACATCATTAATTGGCTGCAACTCCAACATAACTGCGAGTGTTGGAGGGGATGCCTCTTAATTGATGCAGCATCATAGTGTGTGTCTGTGCCACAGTAACCCCAAGTGTTGGGGCTAGTCATCTACATCATCCATCTTGCCTGCTCAGCTTTGGATGCCCGGGGGCAGAAACCATCAATAATTGGCGTTCTCT